AGGACACTGAGCCAGCACCTGCCACTGATCCTTGCTCTGTGTCTGCACCATGGCAAGCAGCCATCACACAATGAACGGGATGAGGAAACTCATCCAGATTAAAAATACCGAGTTTTGCCTGTTTAATTTTAACCTAGGTCACTTCCCCAATCCTGTTTCCCTTGAAGCCACAAAAATGCCTCTGTCAGCAAGAAGGAGGGGGTAGCAGAGGAACAGTCTCTGGTTTTGATGGGGCTGCTGAGGATTCCTGAAGCACCAGCCACTCCTGCAGGGAGTTTCTTAGTGGTGCCCTGCGGGACTCAAAGCTCCTCTACCCTCCCAGCACGACCAACAGCCTCCAGATGCTCCTTGGTCTCCCCACAATGAACTCACTTTGCTTGTCACATCACAAACACCAAGTTCACACTGCCTGGTTTCACCCAGGGCTCAGCCTCGCTATCTGAAAGGCTCAGCTCCACAGCCCACGAGCACCAAGTGACCGCAGGTGGGAAATACCACCAAGCAGGCGGGCGCAGCTTCAGCCCAGCTCACAGGAACTGCTCTACACCAGGGAACTTCAGGCTTCAGCTGATTTCCTATGCAGCTAATAGTCATGAAACCCTGCAGATTTGTACCTACTAATGGCTGTAAAGAAATCAACAATTTGATTTGAGATTCTCTTCCCTCCACCCCCAACCCAGGAAAAGGCACGCTGTTCTCCAGCTATGCAAATTTGTTTTCTTTTGCACAGTGGGTAAAAAATAAGTAATGGTTTTACACTGATGATTAATTTACCAAAAATTTAGGGGAAGCTATATATGGCTGGAAAACCAAACCCAGAGAACAAAGCCCTGTGCCCCACTTTCACTGGGATCAGTTAAATTAGAGCAGGACAAAACTGGATAGCAAATCTGTTTTGCGAGGCTGTTCCTCCCTGGGTGTTAAACAGAACAAGTATTCACCAGACACAGAAGACAATAATCAAAGTGTTTTACACTTACAGTGTTTGTGGGGTTTTCTCCTGTCTGTGTGGTTAGCAAAGGGAAGCAATGATAACAAACAAAATCTTCCAACTGGTAGAGCTCATCCCCTCACATTACACTTCTATCAGAAATGGGAAAACATACCTGTGCCTCCAGCTTCTAGGCAACTTCCCAAGTACAAATGAACTGGTGAAAAGCTTATGGAACAGTTTATTCTCTTGACACCTACAAAAGCTCACGAGCCACCCTCATTTCAACACACTTGTTTCCACGTACTGACCAGGTATTCCCAAACGGCATCAGTTCAGTGCTTGAAAGCTTCAGCAGCAAATTCCTAACTCAAGTAATTTCAACAGATTCTGGTAGGTTTAGACCTTTGTTTTAAAATGTGGTTGGTTTAAGAGAATGGATTTAAACCAAGAAATGACAGTATTAAATAAAGGAAAAAAACCCCAAAGATGCATTGAAGTCCATAATCTGTCACCACCTTTATCTAAATGGTGGCTGTCCAAGGAAGTGAGATTTCCATAAGGTTTGCCCACAAAACCAAACTAAATTTGAAATTATCCCATTTACAGGTGGATGCTGCCAAGCACCAAGGACCTTGTCAAGGGAGGACTCTCAGAGGTGGGTTAGGCCCTGCCTCAAGTTCTGCTCTCTATTCGAAGTCCTGCCAAGGCACCTTCCATGCTGGGAACTCCAGGGACAGCTAATGGATCTCCATGCAGAGCAGACTGGAACATGTAATATACAACAATAGTGTTATGGCAGTAATTAGCTCCAAGTCCTAGACGTAACCTAGTTCTATATGACACAGTGAAGTGCAGAGTGTCTCCCACCTGACAGTCCAGGAAAGCTCTGTAGGGACCTGCCATACCATGGCCACACTGCAGCCATGGGAGGCAAAAGGGAATGACATACCCATGTCACAGGGCAAGTCTCTGGTAAAGGATTTGGAAACAAACCCTACCCTGTCCCACTTCCAGGCTGGTGCTCAAGTCACCAGACACACCTGGCTCCAGGATAACCACTGTGGACAAATCCCTGCATTGCATCTGCCACACTCCTGGATTAGAGTAAACAATGCAAATGCAGCTCTGCCCCAGTGCCCTGACTCGCTCCTCCCAGTCACTGAATCCTTCAAGGCTCGACCTTGCCCGGACTGTTCTGTCTTCTCCCCCAAGGCACATCTTGGAACAACCATCACCAAAATAGTGAAGTACACGAAATCCCTTCCTGCCTCCAGGCTGAGCACCACAGGAATGACCCCAGAGCTGTGGTTGTAGGGAAAAGAAATTGCATAACACCCATTCCTTAGAAAAGAGAGAAAAAAAAAAAAGCACCTCACTGCACTGCACTTGCCTGGACAGAAGGACCCCAAGCACAAGCACAGAAGAAAATGCAGAAGTAAATAACTTCCTCACCTCCAGCAGCACACTCATGACACAAAACTTATCTAGAAATGACATCTAAAGAACACAATATGCCATAGATGACTAAGAGGCAGAAGCAGAGCACCATCAGCTGCGCTATGGATCGATCCAGGAACAATTGGTACGTCAGGAAAAGCGTGCCAACGCACAAGTGAGGTGGCTTTGCTGCACAGCAAAATGGAAACTTTAGGAGTCTGAAGGCTGGTTCAAAGTGAGCAACACCAGCTCTGCTCATATGGTGTCAGAGTTTTGAGGTGCATTTAAACCTGCAAACTGCCTCCTCTACATTCACACCAACATGGGGACACACAAACATTCTTCTCTCTCCAGCAAGAAGAGTACCTCGGCACGGACTTGTGATGGACAAGCTGTCCTGACATACACTATTAAACTCAGTACATGCTGTACTTTCTAATGGATGCAGCCGCAATGCCACAGTGGACACCTGGGAGCTCTCTCTTCCCAGTCTGGTGCCTGTGTTTCAGGGAAACCTGTTGCATTAAATGATCAGGCTCAAGAAGAGTCAAAATCTGGGAGCAGCTCAGCTATCAGCAGCCCGTGAGACTGTTTTATGAAAAAAACACCAAAACAAAAAAAAACAACCTGAGCAACAAGTCAACTGAGAGTAGGGGGAAAGCAGAGGAAGTGGCTTCTGTCAGTGTCTGGCACACAAAAGGCTGAGAGCTTCAAAAAATCGCTGGTGGAAAAGGTGACACAGAGAAAGGCACCCGCCTTGGGGGTCCTTTCCCAGAGCAGCCGGAGCCGTGCTCTGTGAGGCGCCAGGGCAGGCTCCACCCAAGAGATAACACCACGGCGCTTTGCCTCTCAAGGCTTTGTCTCTGTATAAAGGTGTCTCAGCCAGCACACAGAGCAGCGAGCCCACGGGCAGCTTGGCGGCAAATTCACATATTCGTATGCAGGGACTTCCTTCCAAGCTAAGCTGTGCCCTCACAGGGATCTTTACAGCCCTGGTGCAACATTTGAAGTAAAAAATCACCAGCTCCCCAGGGACTAAACTGTCCCAGCAGAGACACAGGGGCAAACCAGACCCCCCAACCCACGCCCAAGGCCAGGACACCCACCAGGCTGGCATCAGGGGCCGTGGCTGACCCGGGGACCTGCATCCCTCCTCCTCGAGAAAGCAAAGAGGGAGAAAGCTGGAACGTGCTCCCTACCCGCAAGGCGAAAGGCCGAGGCCGCGACTCGGCACACAGGCTTCCTGTTCCTCGTTTCCCCCCACACACTCTGCACCCCCGCGGGCACCACGCCGACGAAGTCTGCACTACCCAATGCAAGCACCCCTGCAAACCCACCTTCCTCCCTTCCCACCTCCTCCTTGTCCAGGCCCTGTCTCCTCCAGCTCTGCCTCCTCAGCCCACCTCAACACTACGATGTCCAACACCCTCCCGACATCCCTCCTGCGCGCCCGGAGCTCCCCACTGCCCCATCAACCACGCCACCCAGCCCCAGTCTCCCCTCTGTCCATCCCCGCCGCCCCCAGCTCAACCTCCCCACCCCGACCACTCTCCCCCCAGTCCCCGCACGCCCCCACCCCGTGCCCGCTCTGCCCTGCCCGCTCCCGGCCGGCTCAGCGCCCGCCGGCCCGGTGCCAACCCCCGTTACACTCCGGTCCCCCATCCTGCCCTGACACCATCCCCCTCCTCCCCCGGCACGCCCCGACGGGTTCTGCCCCGCGCCCGGGCGGCTGGCACAGCCCCGGCCCCTCCCTGAGCCGGCTAGCTCCGTCCCCGCCCCGCCCCGGCCCTCCCCGCCCCTACCCGGCGGCCGCGCCGTCGAACTTGAGCGTGAGGGTCTCCTCGATGATGCGGTTGTTGACCTCGAGCAGGATCATGTCGGTGCCGGGGGCGCTCTGGGGGAGCCGAGCCCGCTGCGCGCACCGGGGACCCGCCCGATCCTGCGCCGCCGCTTCCGCTCTCGCGCGCGCGCGTCACGTCCGGCCCGGCGCCGTCCAGCGCGAGAGCAAGCCCCGCCCCGGCCCTGCCAGTCGCATGACGTCATACAGACCACGCCCATCGGGCCGGAGGGGAAGGAGGGGCAGCGGGGAGACCCCGAGTGTGGGGGAATGCGGGGGACCCTCGTGGTGTGGGAATCACCCCCAGCTGGGGTATGGGGCGTGCCTGAGGCATGGGAGAGGGGTCCGCAAAAGTGTCCCGCCCGCTTGTGGGATGCTGCTCGTGTATGGAGGTCCCCGAAAGTGTGGGGCGCCCCTGGGGTTATAGGGACACTCCAGGGAGCAGTGGGTGTGCCCCAGAGTAGGGGGGGTTCTGCAATACAGTACACCAGGGTTATGAGGGTGCTCACGGGGGAAAGGGGTGTCTTTGTGAAATGGATGATTTTGGGTCTGTGTGGCCCCAGAAATGTGTGAGGTGACCCCAGAGAGCGGTGACACCCCAGGGGGCTGTGAGGGGGCTCTGGAGCTGGGGGTTGTCCAAAATAGGGTGGGTGTCCCGAGGGAATAGGAGTGTTGGGTGTGTAGTGACACCCAAGGGATATGATGGAGCTTTACAACTCTACCGGTGTCTCTAGGGAAGAAAGGTCACCCAAAAGTGGGGAGTACCCCTACAGCTGACAAGCATGCAAAGCTGTGAGGGGGTGCTCCGAGGGTTTGTTCCCAGAGGAATGGGGTTGCCTGGGGGGTGCTCTTGGATGCAGATTTCCCCTAAAGGCAATAGGGGTACTCAGAGGAGTGAGCCAGGGGGTTCCCTAAGTCTGTGGGGCTGGCACAGGGGCACAGCTCTGTCTGATGGCATGGTTCAACTGGACTCAGCTTGGCATGGCACAGCTAGGGTGGGACGGAAACGGGACTCTACTCTGGGGTGGTCCCCCACAGCAATCCCCAACAGGGGGCAAGTCAGCCCTGCAGTTTACCTGTGCACCCCCTAAATGCCACCCTTGCTCTATCCATGGGGAAACTGACTCATAGAACTCGGCGCTGCCATCACCCACTGGCCACGGCCTTGGAGAGCTTCCAATCTCCTGGGGGGACTGCAGCACCCAGGGATGTCTTGGAGGGGAGCCCTGCACCCACCGAGGGCCTGGGGACAAGGTGGAAACCCCCAGGAGGCACCACTGCTGGGGTGACAATGCACCCCCGGGTGCACTGCCGGTATGGGCTGGCCTGGGACACCCTGGGACAGGAGGGTGATGGGTCTGTTGGCTCCCCTTAGCCTGGGAAAGGCATCCTGGAGGGACTGGGGAAGGGTCCCTTGGGCTGCCACTTCCCCTTCATGCTGGGAGAAGGTTTTGCAATCTCGCTTCCTCCCCAGGCAGCATAAAGAGGGCAGCGGAAGGAAGGGGCACTGGCTGGTGGCACTGCACGGGAGCAGGTGAGGGACCCTCCAGCTGGCGGGACCCCCGGGCCGGGTGCTGTGCTGCATCCCACCACACTTTTTTCTGGAGCCCTTTGGGGATCACATCTGGATTTGAACCAGTACCCGTGTGCTTCCCTGTGAGAAAAAGCTTGGGATCAGGAGAAGAGCCCAGATTTGAGGGGACAGCGACAGCAGCGAGTAGTGAGTCCCTGGGGTTCTCCACTGGAGATCGGGGCTTTCCTTGGGCTTTGACAGCCCCCCAGCATCTGTCTGAGCCCCTTCACGTGTGGAGCAGGCTGGGGGCCGGGGTGGGCTGCTCCAGCTGCCCAAGGAGCTGCCTGGTGCGAGGGGAGAGGGAGGTGGGAGGTAGGGGCACCCAGGGCTGTGCTGAGGGCTCGTCTGGGGTGCAAACCCTCCATAGGTCCCAGGGACATCAGCCTTGGGTGCTGTGGGGGGGAAAGTGCCTGCTCCCATTTCCTTGCATAGCGATGGGTCAGGAGGGTGCATCCTCATGGTGTGTCCCTCCTTCCTCCCTGCTGAGACCCCCAGGGCCAGCCCAGTGTCCCCCAGCCCTTCTAGGGTCAGGAGGGGAAATTGTGTGCTGCTTGCTCCCCCAGTTGGGCCAGCTGTGGGATAGCCATGAGTGGGGGAATACCCGGTTCCGGAGGAACCACCAGGATTTTGGAGTGCGGAGGAAGAAAGAAGCATCCAGAAACAGACAGAGGGGAAGCACTGGTGTCTGGCTCTGCCGCATGCCTGTGGAAGCCTCACGCAGGAGGACCTTCCATTGACAATGGCATCATTCCTGGCTGTGGTCCTCTGGCATGCTGGGAGATCAGCATCCCAGCATCACCATCCTGGGATCACTAGCTCAGGACTACCATCCTGGGAAAACTGCAAGAGAGGGGACAGCAGAGCCAAGGAGGAATTTTTCTGGGCAGTAGGCACCAGCCCAGCTGCAGCAGGGAGTTCCTGTCAGGCAGAGGGGGAAAGTTGGTCCCAGGGAGGGTTTGGGTTCAAACAGACCCAGTCTGGGGCCAGAAACCTCCCAGCACTGCAGAAAGCCAGCACCTCCAGACAGTCCTGGCCTCTCCAAGCCCTGGTGGGGCTTGAGGGCTTAGAGGTGGGCCAGAGGGGTGAAAATGAAGTGAAACCAGAGTTCATATCCATATTGGGAGAAGGCTGAAAGCCAGTGGTCTCTGGGGAGGTAGTAACAGAGCAAGGTTGTTGTCTCCTATACGTGAGGGAACAGGAAGAGTGACTGTCACCTGTCATTTCCCCATTGAGGCCAAGCATGGGGGACATGGGGATGCCTGGCAGAGCCCAGCTGAGCAACAGGAAGACGAGAAATGTGAAATATTTCCAAAGCCTCCTGCAAAGTGTGTCACGTCTTTCCGTCCTGGGCTTGAAACCACTCACAGAGGAACAGGACTGGGAGGGGGAAGAAGCTCACAAAACCACCTTCAGATGTTCTTCAGTGCTGCCTGCCCTGGGCACCACGACCACAACCTGGCTGAGAGGGCATGAGAGGCAGCTGCAGCAGTGATGCTCGAGGGGGTGGAGAGGCTGGTAGGATCCAGGGGTACTTGAAGAACTTCAGAGGTTCACACTGGGCTCTGAGATGCCCAGAGAGCTCAGAAGGATTTTGAAGGACCCACACAAACCAGGGGACTCCACAGTTGCTGGAGGACCCAGGTATCTCCTGGAGGGATGTGATGCTACATTGATGGGGAAGGCCCCCAACCTGAGAAGAGCTGGTCAGTCTATGGGGGAACCCATTCTTCCACAGGAGTCAGGGAAGGGACAGGATTGGGGTGAAGTGGAAGAAACCAAGGGGTGCAGGGGGCGTTTTACAAGGGGACATATGAGAGACAGTGTCCACCTGCAGCACTGCCCACTACTTAGCACAGTGTGAATACAGTGGAGTGATGCAGGATTGCAGCCCACTGCTTGGGAGGGGACCTGGGCAGCAATGGAGATGCCAGGGGACCCGGAAATGCTGTCACATATGGCCCACACCACTCTGCTACCCCACAGTCATGCCATTTTGTGCTCCACAGGAAAAATGGAGTCCTTGTCCTTCAATGGGGATCTCTCCAGCTTATTCTCCTCGTACAACTACACCTATGACTACAGCACGGCCCTGCCCGACCCCGCTATCTCCTCCGCCCCATGCCGGCCTGATGGCTCCGTCCTCAACAAGTACCTGGTGGTGGTGATCTACTGCCTTGTCTTCATCCTCAGTGTAGTGGGGAATGGGCTGGTGGTGCTGGTGGTGACCTCCAGCCACACCAGCCGCTCTGTCACCGACATCTACCTGCTCAACCTGGCCGTGGCAGACTTGCTCTTTGCTTTCACCCTGCCCCTCTGGGCCACCTACCGAGCCCACGAGTGGGTCTTTGGCACTGTGATGTGCAAAGCCATCTCCGTGCTGCAGGAAGCCAACTTCTACAGTGGCATCCTGCTGCTGGCATGCATCAGCGTGGACCGCTACCTGGCCATTGTCTACGCCACCCGGGCTGCCACTGAGAAGAGGCACTGGGTGAAGTTTGTCTGCTTGGGCATCTGGGTCTTCTCTGTGCTGCTCTCCTTGCCTGTGCTGCTCTTCCGTGAGGCTTTCACCTCACCCAACAATGGCACCGTGTGCTACGAGCGCATTGGTGACGAGGACACGGCCAAGTGGCGGGTGGTGCTGCGGGTGCTGCCGCAGACCTTCGGCTTTGCCTTGCCCCTCCTGGTGATGCTCTTCTGCTATGGCGTCACCATCCATACCCTCCTGCAGACCAAGAATGCTCAGAAGCAGCGGGCCATGAAGGTCATCTTTGCCGTGGTGCTTGTCTTCCTCGTCTGCTGGCTGCCCTACAATATCACACTGGTGAGTGACACCCTCATGAGGACACGGGCCATCGCCGAGACCTGCGAGAGGAGGAACCGCATCGACACAGCCCTCTCTGTCACACAGGTCCTGGGCTTTGCCCACAGCTGCATCAACCCCATCATCTACGCCTTCATTGGTCAGAAGTTTCGCAACAGCTTCCTTAAGATCCTGGCACAGCGTGGGCTGATCAGCAAGGATGCTGTTGCCCGTTACGGCCGTGCCTCCTATGCCTCCACCTCTGGCAACACATCCACCACCCTCTGAGCCTTTCTGGTACCCAGTCCTTGTGGCTCCCCGCAGGTCCCAGCACCCCACACTCCTCAGCATCCTCATCCAGCCCCCTGGAATGTGGGTAGTGATGCTATGGGGATGGGCAGGGCCACCACTGGATGCTGGACCCCAGCTGCAAGGGGACTTGGGTGGCAAGGTGGTAGGATCCCATTGCCAGAGAAGTGATGCCAAGTGCTGCCCACCCTTCTCTCTCTTTGGGACGAAGCCTGTGACTCTAGGGATTTTGAGAGCCTGCTGTGGTGTTTGTGGCCATCAACCATCCAGCAATAAAGGAGTTAGTGGGTTGATCACCCATGTCTGGCTCCTCTTTGCCACAGGAAAGGAGACAGCAGGACAGGGCCAGGGCACATCTCCAGGGACAGTGCCAAAATGGTGGTGCCAGCTGAGCCTTTCGGAGTGTGGGTAACTTTGTTTTCAGGACAGGGAAGGGCTGTTGCCCTAGAGGCTATTGCAGAGGATTTGGCATCCTGTACATCTGCAGAAGGGACCCAGGTTTCTCTCCCTACCGCCACCCAGCCAGGTCCTAACACTTCCCTTGCACAGAGGTCTCCATGTGGAGTCTGTCCCACCTGGGGACAAAGGCATTCCTTTCCCAACCCCAGTCCAAGCTCCAGTGGAACAAGTCGCTGAAAGATCCCTAAGCAGCCCCTCACTGACACCAAGCCAGCACTGTGAAGGGTGCCTGAAGGGTGCCAGCACCCCAGGCACCCCCTTCTCCCCCCGACACCACGGTGTCAGGATATTATTGTGCAAAGGGCTGGGAACCTGTCCCTTACACAAACGGGATGTTTCCGCCCTGGCTTGGGCAACTGTGGCTGATACTTGACTGGGGTAGAGGAACTGAACAGGGGGCTGTGACCCTGCTGGGGACTCTCCTGCCACCCTGTGTGCCAGGCATTGGGATGCCTGCCCCAGCACTCTTAAGCACCTCTTCAGAGGGGTCCCACACTGCTCCTCCATTACCCTCAATACAGGTTCTAGGGGTACTTAACCATGGGGGCACCAAGGGCTATCACCCTTTTGCTGGCTCATAAGTGAGTACAGGGGTCCCCTAGCACCCAAGAGGGAGCCCTAGGGACTTGAGGCTGAGCAGGGTCAGTGGTATTGCTGAGCCCATCACCTTTGTGTCTGAGAAAACTCTTGCCCAAGTGGTTCCTTGCAGTGTGGTAGGAAGCCAGAGCTGTTGGCCAAGAGCTGTCTTCCCTCCCTGCTGTGGGACAGAGTATGCAGTGGCTCAGCCTGGCTGCAGCCGGGACACCCCTTTTGGGGACAGTTTCCCCCAGGAGGACTTGAACACCCCCATGCCAGCATTCCTCCACCCCACACCCAGCCTGGGTGTCAATCTGGCAACGATTGACAGATGACATGAGAGCTGCAGGGATAGTAGAAATGGGTTGTTTTCCTTTTTGTGGACCAGCCACAAGAAAGACAGATCTCAAACCTGAAACCTGTTGGGCAGCAGGACCTGCACGAAGGCCCTGGACACCTGGGTCCCCAGTAAGTCTGAGAGGAGACAGCCAGGGCAGGAGGTGTCCCAGGAACGGCGCCAGGGCTACAGTCCCTGCTCATGAAGCCTGTGGGTGCCTTTGCTGGTAACAAATCAGGCAGCAGCGGCCCTGCTTGCCAAAGTCCATGGAGCATGCGTGGCACACCTTGCCCTGGCACAGCCTGCTGAGAGAGCAGGTGGTGAGAGCTGTGCCATCCCAGTGCTGTGTCAGTGCCACCCCCCATTACCCCCATAGCCCACCTGCAGCTGTACCGCCGGGAGAGGAGGCGGAAATCCTTGTGGCAGCGGGAGCACAGCCCTGTGTCACGGGGTGCCGGGCCGGGCATGGGGGTGTCGATGCCCTCTGTCTTCTGCCACAGGGCATCCTTCTCCCTGCAGGAGGGGACAGATCAGCCCTGTATTTGTCTGGGCTCTGGTGCCCTCCTCTGGGCAAAGGGGTTTGGGCCCCCTTGCCCTTGCGTGGAGTTTCCGGGGCTCTCACCGCAGCAGCTCCAGCAGCCGCTCCTTCATGTCCCGGATGAGCTCCTGCTGCCGCGCCTGCTCAGCGCCACGCATGGCCTCCCGCTCCAGGGCCTCCCGCTGTGCCCGCTGCAGTGCTGATGCCCAGCGCTCACCGTCCTGCCGGGCCCTGGAGCGTGGCAGTGGGGAGATGGTCCCCCTGTCTCTCAACTGGTCATCTCTCCCTCCATCCATGCATGCATGCATCCACCCCTCCCTCCTTTTCTCTGATGCCCATCCATCCCCAAGCTGTGTCACCATCCCCACAGACACCTTGCTATCTGCTGAGTCAGCCACCCATCCGTTTCCCCGCTGTTCATCCATCCTTTCCCACACCCATCCCCCTAGCCTTCTGCCCACCCACCCATTTACTTCCCGAAAATTCATCCCTCTGTCTTTCCACCCACCATCCCATCTCCATCCATCCATCCCAAATTCATGCCTCCTGCCCTGTCTCCATCTACTCACCCCAAATCACTCCACTGCTCTGCCCACCCACCCCTCCACCTACCTATCAATTCCAAATTGACCCCTCCCTGCAGCTATCCTTCCCCAAATCCTTCCCCCCCCGCCTGCCCATCCCCAGCTGCTGTTCCCCTTTGTCCAAGTGGGATGTCACTGGGGGTCCCAAGGGACAGGCAGGTGGAGATGGGGGATCCCATTGTGAGGTGGTGGGTGGTAGAAGTGGGGGCTCCTGCCCAACCTGCTGAGCTCCTCCTGCAGCCGTGCCACCTCCTGTCGCTGGGCCTGGAGCTGCTGCCGGCTCTGCCAGGTCTCCTCCCGCGCTGCAGCGGCCAGGCTGGCCAAGTGCTGTGAGAGAGTGACGTGTCAACCTTGGACCCCAAAACCCTGCCCTACCATGAGATTCCCTCAGGCTTCCTCATACCATGGCCATGCTGGCAGCTGTGCTGTGCTTTCCCTCTGCCTGGGGGTCCAGTGGGGGCTCCTGGGGACCACAGGCGAGCTCCAGTGCCTGCCGCAGCACCTCCTCCACAGTGGCCTCCTCATTCAGGGCACCAGCATGCCCGAGGATGTCTGTCTGTCCTGCTGCCACTACCGCTTCCTGGCACTCCCGCAGGCGTGAGGTCAGTGCTGCCACCTCTGCCATCACCTTGGTCAGCTGGGTGCCCCTCTCCTCTGCTACCTCCTGCCAGCCCCGTGCCTCCTCCTGTGCCTGTGCCAGAGCCCCTTGGCACCCTGCTGCCACCACCATCTCCAGCGCCCGCTCCAGGAAAGTGTTGGTCTCCCGCAGCGCCTCAGCCTCCTGTGCCCACAGCCGGGCCCGCTGGGCACTGCCCTCCTCCTGTTGCTGGTGCCGCAGTTCTGTCTGTGCCAGCTGTGCTGCCAGTGTCTGCACTGCCACCTCCTTCTGACCCAGCTGGGCCCTCAGCTGGGACACCAGTGCCTGCAGGGATGCCTCCATCCCACCTGGCTGCTTGGGCACCAGGGATGGAGAACTCAGCATGCATCTCATGCCAGTGAGTGGGGTAGTGCCAGGTTCCCTGGCACCATCAGGCTGAGGTGATTTGCCAGAGCCATATGCATCCTTCAGTTCCTCTACATCCACATCCTCCATCTTCTTCTCATCTTCCTCCAGCTTCTCTTCAACCTTTTCTTCCAAATCCTCCTCCATGTCCTCCTCCACATCCACATTCACATCCTCCACCTCCTCCGGATCCTTGTCCTTATCCTTTTCCACCTCCTCTTCATCCTCCCCTTTCATGTCCTTCTTCACCTCTGTGTTTTCCACACCCCCCTCCATGTTCTCCACCTTTACATTCCCTGCTCGCAGGGCAGACGAGGTGCGTGGAAATGGGTGAGCTGGTGTCCCACAGGGTGCCGCGATGGGATAGGCAATGCCATCAGGCCATTCGTGTGTCCCAGTGCTGGTGCTGTCTGTCTGCAGGGCTGTCTTTCCTGGGCTGCTCCTGGTCATCGAGCTGGGTCGTACCAGCGACCTAGGGGGGACACAGGGCTCAGGGTCACCAGGTCACCCCCAAGGTAAGCAGGGCACTGCCACCCTGCCTCCGAGCTCCCTGTGCACAGCCAACCTTCAGGGATGTAAAGGGCAGCGGGGCTGGTGACACCAAGTGGCACCTGGTGGCAGGGTACAAGAGATGCTGGTGCCACCAGCCTGAGAACCCACAGAATGGGTGGCACCCAGAGACCCCTGTGGTGGTTGTAGGGGGGCATTGGAGGCTGCATGTATGCTTGTGGCAGTGTGTGCACACAAGTGTGCGAGCAGCAGAACAGGTGTGAGTGTGCTGGAACATTTGCATTCATGAGCATCCCCCTACAAGCGTGCCTGGAGGCCAAGGCTGTGGCAAGCACACACATGTGCCCCTGTGTGCCAGATGTCACAGTGTCACAGTGTTGCAGCAGACCTGTGCCTGGGGGTGTACTTGGCAGAGGATGGCTCTCTGTGTGTGTTTGCAGGCATAGGCATGGGAGATGTGTGCTGGTGCTGGTATTTGTGCCCTCCTGGAGCCACATATGGAGGGCTGGCACCTCTGGGGTGCCACGTGGGGTCCACGGAAGTGGGACAATGTCCATATGCTTCTCTGCAATGCTGAGCCCCAGGTACCTCTGATGCCTCTGACATTGCTGGTACCACCTATGCCCCAGTGCCCCGGTGTCCCCAGGCTCACTCAGAGAACATGGGCCAGGAGGTGTCCAGGTCGTCCCTGTGCAGGGCCAGGTGGAAGGTGACACAGTCCAGCTCATAGAGGCTGCCCAGGATCTCCGCCCGGTGTTGGGGGCTCAGGAAAGGGCTGCGGGCGTAGTACCACTCGCTGCAACCACAAAACAGGATCATGCACCCCTCTATGCCCTGAGTGGGCACATATGCCTGCAGCACCCTTACTGATCAGGTGCTGCAGGGCACTGCCCATCTTGGCTGGGTCCCCCACCACTGCGAGCATCCCCTCACTGTGCCCCTGCTCTCACCGGAGGCTCTCGGGGTCGAGGAGGCAGAGCTGCAGGGACTCTGCCAGCTGCCGGTGCACCAGGCAGTACCGCAGGAAGGCTCGGCCCCTGCCCACAGGGGTCTTCAGCTGGGAGGGAGAAGGGGTTATCAAGCCCTGTCACACCAGTCTGCCCCCTACACACCTTTCCCCCAACACATGCAGGGGGAAAGGAGGTCCCCAGGTCCAGAGCTGAGGGGCAGTGGGGGCCCCAGAGGGGAGAAAACCCTTGATAGCACCAGTGCATGAATCCTCAGTGCCCAGGTGAGTGTGTACCTGTGCACAAGTGCACATGCACCCATAAGCAAGCAGAAGCACGGTGTGTGCGCACAAGTCCCCAGGCATCCCACCAGCCCATGCCCACCTTGTCCAAGGAGGTGACGAAGTGAATGCCCTCATGCTCCTGCCGGCACCGTGCCAGGCCTTGGCACAAGAAGTCCCAATAGTCCCTGCGCTGCCCAAAGAAGCTCCTCTTCTCCTTGAGGTCGAACTGGCAGACGTACAAGTTTGGAGTTTTTTGTTTGGGGATGTCCCCTGTCTCCCAGACTGTCATCCCCTGTGGGGCTGGGATCCAGCCAGCTGATCCAGCAGGGTTGGTCCAGGTGTCCCCTGGATGTCCTCTCTTCACTGGCTCCATGCCTCAATTTCCCTTTTGCATCACGTGCAATTACATACGTGGATAAGGGAGAGTCTGGTCCAGGTGCTCATGTGGCTGGGGCTGCCCAGGGCCAGACCAAGCTGCCTGGGGTCATACCACCCCCCAGAATGGTTAACACAGGGTCCCCTCTGCTCTCAGCTGTGCCTAAGGGGAAACTAAGGTGGGGAGCAGCAGGGACAGAGGAGCAGTCATACCTGCAGGAGGAACTCCAGCTGGGCACAGAGGCTGTGCAGTTCCCGGCTCCCGTCCGTCACTGGCAGGTTCTGCTCCCGGTAGCTGCAGTTCAGCTCAGCCACGGTCTCTGCAGGATGGCAGGGCTGAACTGGCATGGCCCTGCCCAGGCAGCAGGCACTCTCTGCCACCCCATTGCCCTCTCCCCTGCCTCACAGTTCCTGGCCCCAGAGATTTCTGATGGGAGGTGAAATCTCAGAATTGTGGAATCTAAGCTGGAAAAGACCTCTAAGATCAAGTCTGGTTGAGAACCAGCTCTGCTAAGTCCACCACTGAGCCATGTCCACAAGTGACACATCTGCATGTCTTTTAAATACCTCCATGGATGGTGACTCCACCACTTTCCTGGGTAGCCTGTTCCAATGCTTGATAACCATTTCCATGAAGAAATTTTTCCTAATATTTAACCTAAACCTCTGCTGGCACAACTTAAGGCCAGTTCCTCTTGTCGTAACCCTTGTAACTGAGGAGAAGAGGCTCATTTCAGGCAGTTGTAGAGAGACATAAGGTCCCCCTGAGTCTCCTTTTCACCAAAGAGAAAGAGGAACCTGCCCTAGGATGAAACAGAGGAGCAGGGGGAGCAAGGAGCACAGCTACCCGCTGGGCATTGCCAGTCCCCAGGGACTGGCAGCGAGGACTGGAGCAGGCAGCAGTGGTAGGGTTGGCACTGGTATGCTCTGGAGCCCCCCTGACAGGGACACCCCTGCTGCCCACGAGCTGGGTGCAAGGAAGGACCCAGCACAGCCAGGGTGAGATGTGCCATACAGTGAACAGGCTGGCAGAGGACTGTCTGGCACACTTACTCTGCAGGTCCTTGATGACACGGTTGAGCTCCCCTTCCCCTGCCATGGCTCTGCACAGGGATCTGCAAAGGCAGGGGCAGCGATGAGAGGTGCTAGGCTGGCAGTCCTCTGGCATGCACAAACTCTCTGTCCCAGGGAGAGGGTTTGCCCCCACCCAGCTCTACCCCAGACCTGCCTGCTGTTAAGGGGCGAGACGGTGGGTGTAAGCACCCCTTTTCTTTGCCCATGTCCCCTCACTGCATGGGGTAGAAGGGAAGGGGTGGACAAAAGGTGTATCCTGTACCCCCTTAGTTGTCCATGTGCCCTGCCCCAAAATGTCCTCAGCCTCTGCTCCCATTCCCTGAGGAGTTCCTGAGTCTGAGCATGTCCCGTCCCTAGTGTGTCCCTGTCCTAGTCCCTGTTCCCCAGGACTCAGGATGTGGGTTTAGCGCAGGGGAAGCTCTGCTTTTTCTTCTGCTCTCGTTTCCCTCACATCCCAAGCAGTCTGGAGGCTTCTGAGTGGCTGGGAAAGGGGGGCACACAGCCCCTGACATGCACCCCCCCCCCAAACTAAGCCCCCCCCCGGGCAGAACCTTCTGACACAGCATGCTGCCTGCGGGGCTGGCACAGGGTTTGGGGGTGTTGTGGGCATGGGGTGGGGAGCTTGGGGGGCACAGTACAGTGAAGTAATTTTGGGGAGTGGTGGGTGGCAGCCTGGTGACAAGATGAGGGAAAGAGCCCATGGAGGTGGCAGGTCTGTGGCCTGTTCCTGTGGGTGGTGTCTGGGTGGTGTGGGGGAACATGCATGTGTGCATGGGGGTGTGCATGGCAGGGTGTGTGCACGCTCGCAGGAGGGGTGTGCATGAGCATGTCCAAGCATGCCCAAGAGTGACTGAGTGCCCTGTGCCCTTCCCTGTGCCCTCTGTCACGGCAGAGTGACAGAGCAGGACATGGGACTCAGGATGTCTGGGTTCCCATTCCAGTGCCCTTGAGAGACCTTGGATGAACTATCTTCCCATCTGTCCACCCTGCCCTTGCCTCAGTCTCCCCAGGGAAAAGAAGCCCCTTACCTGTGGCCAGGAGCTGTGGGTTGCCCCAAGGCGCTCGCTGAGTGCTGGGGGCACGCTGGTGTGTCCTGCGCCCACGCTGTGCCTGTCTGCTTCTCCTTTTGTACCTTGGCCAGGAGGAAGTGTGAGAGGTTGGTGAGGCCGCAGGAGCCACCACCCACCCGGCCTACATCACATCAGGCACTCCAGCTTAGCTCCCAGCACCCAGCTCCCTGTTTTAGGGGGTGCCAGTTCTAGGGAAAGGGTCAGCAAGGCTGGTCCCCCTGTGCAGCCCCTGTGGAGGACAGAGGAAGGACAGTGTCATGTTTGGGGGGACCCTTGTGTCTTCCCATGAGAGTGGGAATTGGGAATGCTTTGAAGGACCATCCTGCAATTTTTGTGGAGGGGGACCAGGACCCATTCCCAGCTCAAAGCAGCCCGCAGCAGCCTCTGGCACAAAGCCCACCCCCCAGTGCACAACAGCCCCTGGGTACAGAGACCCCCACAGGATCTGCAACCCACCCTCCCCAGCAAGGACCACCACCTCTCCCAGCAAGGACCACAGCCCTCCATTGGCATCTGCCCCAAACATGGGGGCTATGCCCAGAGCCGGGGTGCAAACTCTTCCCCAAGCATTTTGGCCAAGGCTCCCCCTTGTTAGGGAGCCCCCAGCTCTCAAGTTGCCCCTCAGCCATGGTGCCTGCCCCCTGTGCTAGGTCATCCCTGTCCTGTGGGTTTCTTCTGGACTGAGGACTAAAATCCCTGGAGGGGGGGAAGCCAGGGATGATTCTAATCCATCTTGCCTGTCCAGGGGGACCCACTGCCATCCCATTCCCCACCACCATTTGGCTAGGTGGATGCCCACAGTGATGCCCACATCCTGCCCTTTGCTGCACCCCTCCTTGTAGCACATGCTGCCCCTACCTGTTTCACCTGGGTGTCTTGGGGGGCTACTGTTTCTCCCCAGCTGGGCTCTGCTCGGCACCAAAGTGAAAGTAGGAAGTGATGCCGAGTGGGAGCCTGGGCCTCCCAGCACCCTCCTGGTTCCTGATGGGCTTTGAGATGCCCTCAGCAGCTGGGGGGCATAGGGGAAGCAGTGGCAGTGCTCGGGGTGACCCCAGCCTCCTCAGCAACCCCTTGCACTGTGGGCATGGGACGCAGCATCCCACATAGGATGGGGGTCTGGGTAGGGGGTTGGGGGGAAGTAGAGTGTCAACCCACTGTGCCTGGGGGATGCATGTGCATTTGCATGTGTGTGCAGGCGCAGGAGTGCAGGGCAATGGCACATGAGTGCTGGCTGTGCATGCATGGCTATGGGGATGCATGTGTGGGTACAAGCCCTACACATGTGGCGGGTATGGGCACGAGTTTGAGAGGGCACCGCGTGTGCCTGCAGACACGTGCCCATCATTGCACCCACCCATGTGCCCCAGGCACTGCATGGGCAGCACCCCAACACCCGTGGGGGGGGATGTGCCCCTGCCCGCTGTGCCAAAGCAGCGCCCTGGCAGCAGGGTTCCCCACCCCTGCCCCAGCCAAGGGCTAGGGTGGGGATGCCAGGGGCTAGGGGGGCACAGAAGGCACTTTCCTGTCCTTGGCGTGGGTGCAATTCAATTAACGAGGCCTGGCCCTGGTTCAGCACAGCCAATAAAGCTAATGGCCCTGCACAGGCCTGGTGCTGCCCACCGGGGGGGGGGGCCGGGGGCCATCTGCTAATTAAATGGGGGTGGGGGACCATGGAGCCAGCGGTGATGTCACCTCCCTGGGGCTCAGTGTGGGGGGGCTGTACCCTGGCCCCTCTGCTTGCCAGCCCTCTGCCCCTCCTAGGTGCCAGACAGAGCTGTGGGGGACAGCTGTGAAGTGTGGGGAACCACCCAAACTCCCTGCGCCCCTCTTTGGTGCAGCTGCTTGTCAGGAGCCTTCCCAAAGCAAATGCAATTAGTGCCCAGGCCTGGCATTGCCACTGCCCACGCTTGGCACCAGCAGCTGCCCTGTGGGGACAGTCCTTGCCCCGTACCAGCACAGCATCATGGCAGCCTCTGGGGGTGCTGTCGCCAGCTCCTCTTGGCACCACCCCCTATGGGTATGTGGGGGATGTATGGTCCCCAGTAGGGTGCACCCTGTCCCCGTGCTCTGTGCAAGCCCCATGGTGAGGTGGGAGTGCCTGGGGCCATTTTGAGCTGTTCTGCAGGGAGAGGTTCCCCTGGGTAATTCGGTGCCCACAGCGTGGTGCATCAGCCAGGCAGGCATGGCGAAGGAGACCCCACTGGAAGAGGGCTGGTTGAGGTGTCCCTGAATGTGTCCTCAGGCTCCTGGGAAGAGGAGAAGCTTGGTGGGATGCCAGAAGGACTGGCAGTGGGGCAGAGAAGCCCCCATTGTGTGTACACATTGCCATTTAGGGCTAGGGGTGAGTAGGGGGTGCTACAAGGAAACTGAGGCAGGGTCAGAGCGGGGATCGTGGATTGTGCTGTGATCGAACCCAGCGTGTCCGACCTCCTCCATCCCCAAACCTGAGGGCTCTGGAGCGGGGGACACTGTTAGGGTCTGGCATTCACCCCAGGGGACGCCATGCCTGGAGGACAGGCGGATGAGTCCCGGGAGTGCCAAGCCCCGAACCCCGTGTGCGGGAGGAGGAGAGGGAAGAGGAGGAGGAGGAGAAGGAGGAGTGGGAGGAGGGGAGGAGGGGGAGCGTGTCGGAGCTGGCTCCCACCCAAGCACTGCAGGACAGGGGCGGGCACGGTGCTCCCTGCCTGGCTGCCAACGCGCAGGCGACGCTGGGGGACCGGCGGGGGGGACTGGGCCCGGTGGGACCGCAGCCCCCCAGCACATCATCGTCGCACAGTCCAGTGCCCGCGCCCGGGCACCTCCGGGGCACTGCCCGGCCGCCGGAGCTTGTTGCGGCTGGCGAGAGAGGGGGGCACACGGCTGGGTTCGACCGCCCCCCCCCGAGAGTGCCCTGGGCAGGGGTCGGCCCCTGCCCCCTCCCCCCGCCAGGTGAGCCCCGTGCAGGGGCACCATGACCCGGCTGGGCTGGTGCTTTGCCACCTTGGTTGGCTGGGGGAAGTCCTTGGTGTCCTGCCTCCTGCCCCTCCGCGCCCGCCGCCGCCGGGAGGTAAGCGGGCACCGCCGGTCACGGAGTTAGGGTTAGGGGCTGCGGGGGACACGGGGCTTGTGGGGGTCCTGGGACTGCGGGGGGTGGGCGTACGGGCTGTCGCTGGCCCTGCCTGCTGCGGGCAGTGGAGGGTTAAGCCCTGCATATGCATGCCAGGTGCAGGGCATGTCCTTTGTCCCTCTTGTACCCCCCCACGGAGTGGCACTGTGACCCTCGCTTCCCATAACCCACACCCGCGGGCCCCTGCAGTGCCTGACTGGAGGGGAGCTACCGTACAGCCTTTCATGCAAAGGGATATGCTGGGATCCCTGTGTCCTTACAGAGAGAACATGTAGGCAGGGGGTGTCCCTGTGTCCCTACTGAACCCTGAACATGGGGCACTGTGCCCCATGTGAGGGTACCCCAAAGCCTATAAAACACCCAGCACGAGAGATCCCTGTGCCCATAAAGTACCCAGTGTGGGGGATCCCTGTACTTGTAGGCATTTGGTACTGGGGAACGCCATACCCATAAAGTACTCAATGAGTGTGGGCTCCCCGTGCCCAAAAAAGTGCCCAACATGAGGGGCCCCTGTGGGGTCACCCTGCTGTAGCTGTGCCCATCAGTACCCGGTGTGAGTGGGATCCATGTGCCAAAGGACTGCCCTGCATAGGGGATTCCCGTGCCCATGCCGCACATGGTGTGGGGACACATCCTGTTCTGCCACCCATGCTGTGGAAACTGAGGCAGGGAGGGGAGAAGCTGTTGGAGGGTGAGGACTCCCAATGCGCCACCCTCACTTGGTTTCTCAACCTTTGGGAAGCTGCCCTGTGCATAGCGGAATGGCATGGGACACTCCAGCTGCACTGTGCCAGAAAAGCAGGTGCCAAAGCCACTGCCAGGGCAGTGTCTGGGGCTGTCACTGCAGGCTGGTGACAATCCAGTATGTGCCAGGGCAGGGACCCAGCCTGAAGGAGAAAGAGGCCTCTGGCTGCTTGGGGACACCAACGTGTGTCGGGAACGCAGGATCGTGAGCTGATGGGAATACAGGGAGATGCTCAGCGCTATGGGTGGGAGGGAGGCACTGGGGAGGTGTGGGTTGGTGGTTGTGCAGTTCCATGCCCATCTCTGTGTCCATGTGTCCCTGATGTGGGTGTGAGAACAGGGACTCATGGGGGGCTGTAACACACATGTATGCTTGTGCATGTGTGTTCACGAGCATGCAGGTGGGGCTAAGGTGAGAGTGAACTGCAGCTCACGTAGGTGTGGGTGCACAGCAGGTCTCTGGGGAGTTGTCGGGGGGTGTGTGTCCTCTAGCACGTGTGTGTGTTCTGGGGGCAGTAGCAGTGAGGCTTTACGGTCGTGTGAGCTGTTAGAGGGGTGTCCCCCAGTCCTTCCTGTGCCAGCAGGCACCCACACGCATGGGGACCAACCCACTACACATGCTATGGGGGGTGTGTATGGTGTACATGAATGTGCCCTGGCATGTGCATAGGGGTGTGTGTGTGTAATGTGTGATTATGCCCTGTGCACCCAAGGGCAGCGTGGGGACAGCTCTGCTGGAAGTGGGTGTGGGGGCCTTGGGGACATCATGACCCCAGGAGGGGGGACACAGAGGACTCCTGCCAAGGCTGGACCTGCACTGGGAGTACATGCCTGCACCAGTAGTATCTATGAGGGGTTCCTGTGCTAAGTGACCCTGTCTGCATCCCCCTGCTGAGAAAATGATCCTTAAATGATGCTCATGGGCAGTGTCCCTGCCGCCACCTCTCCCTGTCCCATGACCCTTGTCCCTGCCCTTCTGAGGAGCCTGGGATTGTCCCGGCAGTGAATGGGAGAAGGTGATTTATGGGAGGGTGGGGACATCTTCCTCCACTGGGGTTTTTATTTGTGGGCAGTAACAAGGCTGATTAATGAGGGCTGTAATGATGGGGTGGGGTGTGCACAGATGGCGCTCCCTGCTTGTTTGGTTCTGTGAGCAGGATCAGCCCTC